ATTTCTTTCCATCTCCGGTTATGCCGATTTCCAAATCCCTTCCATTCGTGTTTTCAACCGAAATGTAAAGACCACCAGGCGTATATTACCGAATTATTCTGGATGTGAATATCTTTTGCAAAGCAAGGCTTAGTGAAATTTAATGACACCATGAGGTCTACTTAACTATTGCTTGCTGATAATTTCGAAACACATCCATACTGACACTACTTTGAAAGATGTGAGTATGTTTGTGAGTTAAGGGTGTACTTGAAAACAGTATACATCACTTTGGATACTTTTTCTTTACTCATGATTTACTTAAGATTACCTGACGCTGCTGGATGAGGCCGACCATTGGGAACAACGGTCCAAGCTAATTGGTCTGGACGCCAGGGAACGTCGTCGAGCAAGCCATTTTGCCCGAGCCTGGCGGCCAGTGAGTCGAGAGGCCAAACGACTGGATACCGAAGCGGCGGTGGCTCGACGTCAGTTGACGATTCACGACTCCACCAACTCCGTGGGTTTGGTCGGTGAGACGATTGGTCTACAAAGGACTCTGGAGAGTCTTGATTCCGTGATTGTTGAGGGTCTGGACGACGTGTGGAGACTAGAGCCGAGTGAAGATGTTGAATCCGAGGAATTGGTCAATCTGGTCTATCCGGAGGCGAGAATGCGAGCGCTTCTCGAGTGGACGGGCGGTTGGATTACGCGGCTTATACAGGCACAGCTATCTTCCGATCCAAAGCACACTCGATCCGATGTCGATGTAGTGGTTCAGATGGGCGTCTGGAGCGAGTCATACACTCGAGTAGGTAGTCACTAGTGAGCAGTTCAAGACTGATTACGTGTGGCATAAATTATTATTAATAATTGTGATTTTAGGCCATTTATATGGGACAAAACACAGCAGCATTCTATGCAGTCATAATGAAATAATAGCAATAGTATTAGTCATTTGACTATCATTAAAAACTACATTGGTACTAAATAGGTTTCGAACTTATCAATAGCTCTCGAATGAGGGAGGTATTCATTCTAGGTAGCAAAATTTGGTGAGGGACTGATTGTTGAATTTTCCCACAACCATATGAATATGTCTCACTACACCGTTGAATTTCACTTAGCCATACCTCTCAATAGGTATTCTCATCCAGCTTCGAATGGAGTTTAGTTTCCACAACACCTGGATCTCATCAGCACTACCAAAGGGTAATATTTCGAAATTTGTAGGCTGCGCAACTCGGGTATGTTTTCCGTTGGGAATGATGATGAGACCCAGGCGAGGTTAAAACTGCCGTCCAATTCAGCTGGAATGAGTATACCTTTTGAGGTGCAAAGCCAAATGGAATCCGATGGGACTGAGAGACCTACTCATGGAATTGTGGCAAACTTCAACTAGCAACTCCAATCTCTAAAAAAACGAATCAAATAATTCTATATATTTGCAGGCTGTATTGGCATGTAGGGCTGGGTGGGGTAGTATTTTTATCTAAGGGTTAACTTGAAGTTTTTGGTAATAATGAAGTGGTATGTGACAGGCAAAATTTCGGAACAACTTTACTCGAACAGAAAAAGGATGTATAATGGATTAGGTCAATCTGAAGATGAAGTTCAAAAATAATCACTACTGAGAAACGGGAATTGGCAGTTGTGTTCTGATCAAATTTACTCAAGAGTTCTCTTCATCACCACAAAAATAAGAGATATTCCGCCTTGGTTGCATAAGGTTATGAAGGCTAATGATTGAATTTACCCAAAATGCTATGAGTATGCCTTCAATGCAATTGAATTCATGCTAGCTTTGTTTCCAAACGGTATCACCAACCAGTTATGTATAAACTTAAGT